AATATTAATTAATGAACAGTGGCTCTGTTTCCCCTCCAATTCCGTGTTTCGTGCCGCTCCGTCGCCCGGCGGTCCCGTCCCCTCAGGCGATGGCGGGAACGCGCTCGCGCCGCTCCCTCAGGAGCCCGCGCGGGGCCGTGCGCAGAGGCGGGAAGGCGGGAACGCCGCACTGCGCCTGCGCCGGGATAACGGTCCGGCGAGGGGGAGGCGTGGTCAGGCAAAGCCCCGCCCACAGAGACACGGCGCCGCTCACCGTGGTGGGCGGGGCGGGGCGAAGACGGGGCGGGGCTCAGAGCTTGGCCGCGCCCCACGCGTGGCGGCGCTGAAGGGCGTGGCTTGGTGACATCATCCCTGCCCCGGAGCCGTGGCGAGGGGATGAGGGGCGTGGCTGGGTGGTGGGTGATGAGGGGGCGTCGTCTCTCCAAGCCCCGCCGCGTACGGGCTGTGGCGCGGCCCCCCGTGATCTGTGGTAGGCGCCGGGAGTGGGGGGATGACGAGTGAGGGGCGTGGCTTGTTTAATAGGGGGCGCGGTCTCGCCGAACCACGCCCGTTTCTTAGTGTGGCGCGCCTCGGATTGGCTGGACGGCGCCGCGAGAGGCGTGGCCTCCTCCGCCACGCCCCCGGCGGGCTGAGGCGGGGCCGGGCAGTGGCGCGGCGAGACGAAGAGGGGCGTGGCCTCGCCCAAGCCCCTTCCCCGTAATCTGTGGCCGCACTCGGATTGGCGGAGCCTGTCAAGGAGGGGGCGCGGTCTCTCCCTAGCCCCTCCCCGGGGGTCCGCGACGGCGCCCGGATTGGCGGAGCGGGGCGCGGATGGGGCGTGTCCTCAGCAGGCCCCGCCCCCGTGCCTGTGGCGGCCGCCGGAGCGCGGCGGCGGGAGGAGGAGGAGGAGGAGGCGGAAGATGGCGGCGGCCGCGGCGGCGGCGCTGCGGGCCTGGTTCTGGAACGAGCGGTTCTGGCTCCCGCACAACGTGACGTGGGCGGACCTGGCGGGCGAGCCGGGCAGCGGGCTGCAGTACCCGCGGGCCGCGCACGTCCTGTCCGCCTTCCCGCTGGCGCTCGGCATCTTCGCCGTGCGGCTGCTCTTCGAGAGGTGAGCGCGGGGCCCCCGGGAGGGGGACTCGGGGGCTCCTGGTGGGGGGCTGCCCTGAGTGGAAAAGGGACGTCGGGTAACCCCGGGGAGCTGTCGCGCTGCTCGGCTCTGTCGCGACACGAAGGAGCCCCGGGGGCTGCTGTGGGAGCGGGGTCTGAGGGGCCCCTCCGGTGCCGGGGCAGCGCGGGGGAAAACGCCGCGTTTCGCGTAGCAGTTCGCTTTTATTCGCTTTTATTCCCCCCTGCCCGCGGGCGGCTGACGGAGCCGAGCTTCCTCGTGGGGTTTTTTTTTATCGCGCTTTTCCCCCCGAGCTCCCGGAGGAGGAAACGGGGCTCGTTCACACACGGCCCCGGCCGCGTTAATTGTTAATTGTTATTAAACAATTTGCGGCTCTCGCGCTGGATGTGGGCGCGGGATCGCCTTATCTGCCCACGGACAGGTGTAATTCGGGATTCCCCGTGTGCCTGAGCATCCACAAACACGGGATTAACTCACACACACCCCCCGCCCCGGGGCAGGGCTTGATCCGCGCCGGGGATCCCTCGCGAGCCACGCGTGGGCGACGGAGCCGCTAATTAGCAAAGCGGCTTAATTAGGAAAGCCCGTTAGGCGAAGCGGGCCCGAGACGCGCCTCGCGGTTCATTAAACATTGATTTAACCGTGAATTTCTGCGTTGAGGCGGCGGAGGAACCCTCGGGTCGGATGGGCTGGGGGAAGGTGTCCCTGCCCCTGGAATTCTTCAAGGTCCCTTCCGACCCCATCCAGTGGTTCTGTAAATATTTCTAAGCGTGAAAAAGGGGCCGCGCGGGACTGAAACGAGTGGGAATCGGGTGGGTTTTGATCTGTGTGTTCTCTGGGTGTGCGGAGCGTGAGTTTCCCTGAGCTGTCAGAAGGGAGGAGGTTGGTTGGGGCGAAGCGAAAAGACGGCAAATAAGGAGGAAAAAGGGAGCTGGAGAGAAACTGGAGAGGCTCTTCCTTTCTCCTGCTTATCTTTCTGCCCTTAGGGGGAAAAAAAAAAGGCTTCAGAAAAGCAGTGCAGAGGACCCAG